AGGGGGGTGCGGAGTGACCGTCTGTTACAGGATCTTTTTTAGCCTTATCGCTGTTAATTGCGCTGGGAAATGTTAGAAGAGAAAAAATAGGGGAGGTACTTCGGGTTTGTTTGTTTGTTGTTTTTCGTACAGAAATATCATAAATAATTTTCAAGAAAATTCTACCGACCTCGTCTGAATATGTTTGTAATATGGCGATTTCTCTTTGGAGAATAATTTCTCAAACTCGGAACTGTCTTTGCGGTGCTGGGGAAAAACACCAACTATCAGAATCACTTGGGATAACGGTTTCGTTAGGGAAATATTTCCCAGTGGAAACAGTTGCTAGTGGATGTTACACAAGCGATCGGCCTCTTTCAGCACTTGTTGACTGTCAGGGTACTAAACCGGTTTCGCGTTGTGGTTCTGCGTTTTGATTTTAAAGCCGTTTTAAGGAAAGGCAGAGTGAAAAGGACCAGGCGCTGCGGTATGGAGAGGCGATGTTGGATCACTTGCAGTTCTCTAGGCACACACATGTTATTCCCTCTGAATGCCCTGGGAGCACAGAGGCTTGATTTCTAGGAGTGCAACTGGCAATCTTACCACGTTCATAACGGATTTGTAGGTCAGAAGTAATATTGTTGTTCACTTTATTGGTGCCAGCTTGAACCTTTCACCTATAAATTTTATTTTCTTCTTTATTACTACTTGTGCAAAAACGTGAGTTTTATCAGGCTCACTGCTTGGCTTACTCGGTACACTGGCTACTGCAGGGAAACGTTGTTTCCTCAGCTTTGTTCAACACCAAGCACTAACACATCAGTGCCATATAGTAAACCTTTCAAAAACAGATTTCTTTTCTGACGGCTGAAAAAGTGTTACTGCATTCATAACAACATCGATGTCTGACAGATGCTGATGGTCATCTGGAGCTAAATACTAATGTGTCTGGAGGACCAATATTTCCCTGTTCTATAAAACTATCAAAAATGCAAAAATCAGGCGGCTGCCCTGAAGTTTTCAGCTTTACAGGGTTTAAGCAACTATCCACAGGAAGGCAAAATTCACAAAACATAGGTGCCTCTGATTTTTCAAGTAGAAAACTTGAGCCAGTATTGAAACACTTACCCATATGCATTTTACTTCATTTATTAGCTTGTAATTAAATAAATCAGCAACAGAAATTAAAATCTAAATCACAAAAGGTAATTATCCAGTGTATTTCAAGTGCATTTTCAAATATATAATTCCAATATTCAAGCGTTATTATATAAGCAGAATCCAAATTTCTTTTGAATATATTTAAATAACATTTCAAGTATATTTATGGAATGTTAGAAATAGACCAAGCAATATATATGAAACGAAATATGTAAACTTCTTAAGTTCAGACACTTCCAAAGACAATTAACAAAAGTACCATGATAAAATCTACCTTTTTAAATGGAATCTTCTCTTTAGCAGAAAATGTCCTTGAAGTATCCAAAATGGCAATTTAACTTCTGTTCACCAAATCACAAAACACCAACATCCACAATTTCAAAGACAATGTGAGATCACAATATTTGATACAAATCAAAGGTACATTAGGGTTTGTTCAGATGGCATATCCAAATAGCTTTTACTCACAGTGGGTTTACCTAAAAATACTGGGGTTTGTTATAATCCGTTGGTACCGTTTCTAGGCAGAATGGTCACAATCATGTTAAATTACGGCCAGTTTTCTAGGTATCATACTTTTTTATTATTATTGGTTTCCATTTTTTTTTTTCCTTTCACGGGGAACTGCAAAATTGTGACGAAGAGAAGAGAGGAACAATACTTGCTGTTGTCATTTGCTTTTCTTTGTGAAGAGCCTAAGCTATATTCCTTTTTAAAAGAGAACATTATTTGCATTGTCAAGTGGAAACATTGGACTTTTCGAACAGGCAGCTTAAACTTCATCGGGAAATTGTCGCTCGGGCGGGTTTTATAGTTACCCTCTAAAGTTTCTCCAAACTTTTCGGGTTGGTAAGTATTTCCCTAGCCAGTCGCCACGTTTGTTTGGCCGCGTTTTCCAGGGCCGAGTGAGGTTTGCCCTGAAAGAGGTCTAAGTTGGGCAAGAAGTAATGCGGGCACCTCCTGCACTGGAGGCAGGAGATGAGCTGTAGTAAAATCCCGTTGAGCCGGTCCCCCAGGCACGACTCGTCCCAGTCCGATTCGCGGGGATGCTTTTCGCACTCGTAGGAAACCAGAGTCTTCATGTGATAATTATTCAGGGGCTGGCCCGGCAGCTCCAGGTGACGGTCCCGTAAGGTTTTGAGGATAGAGAGGCATTTCTTCCTGCAGCCGCCCATCTGCAGTCTGTTCTCGGCTTCCGCGAACTGCAGCACCCAGGCATCGCTCTCGGCCGAGCTCTGCTTGCCGGCCAGAGAGTGGCACTCCTTGGACAAGAGGTTGAAGCCTTCCGCCTTGACCTCGGCCACCCTGTTGGGTCCTGGCCAGGGGATGTGGGGGAGCGGCCAGTGGGCAGCGCTCCGCGGCCAGATCCCCGTGCACTTGAACGCCGGAGTGATCTGCACCACGTACCGATCCCTGATCCTCAGCTTTACTTCGCTGGTGTCCGCCACCATCTTTACCACGTCTCTGTAACTGCATTTATCCACGGCTTGAGCCACCAGAGTCTGAAATCTGGACCGGATTTTGCGAGCGGAGAGGTAGCCAGACGCCGTGATGAACTCCACCCAGAGGGACATACTCCTCTTGCGCCCGTCGCTTAACTTTAACACAGCGCAGCCCGGCAAGGAGCCGTCGTCCACGAAGTTGAACACCCCCATTTGGTTCAGGTACAGCACGACTTCAAACTCCGTGGGGGAGATAACTTCCAACCCCTCGTAGCGATTGTCCATCTCGTTCAAGGAACTGATGAAGCGAGGCTCCTGCACCTCCACCTCCTTCAGCACGTCCGACACCACTTTGCAGACTTCTCGGATCGTTTTGGCGATGGCAGCTTTCCTGGCTTGGCATTTCTCGTTGTAGTATTTATTCAAGTGATACACCAGCTTGGCCTGGGCCGCGATCATGTTGGGGCAGAGATCCGGGTTGTATACCGGAGTCTCGCAATAGGCTGTGGGATCCAATGCGGCTGCTAAGGCTGGAGCCAACTTCAGAGGAGAAACAGGCTGCCGCACTCTGAAATGTAACAAATGTTTTTCAAAATGCGCCGGGGCTGCTGCTCCTCAGATGCTCTCTTCCTGCTTTTTTAGATCAGCCG